CTGCTTAGTTTCCCAGAAAGATGGCTAATATAAATAACTGGTAGGAGCAACTCAAAAGATCAATACTAATATCACTACTAATAATGACAATAATAACTACATCGACGAAGATTCATTGTACTCATCACTGTTCACAAGGTCTGACTTACAGAACCTGAGTCTGGGAGAATTACTTTTACATCTCTTGGTTGCAGGAGAGATTTTCTCAAAATGCTGATTGGTTTTTAGTTTTTAAAAAAGCAGTAATCAGCCCAACCAGCATGGCTCAATGGTTGAGCGTCGACTTATGAACCAGGAGATCACGGTTCTATTCCCGGTCAGTGCACATGTCCAGGTTGCAGGCTCGATCCCCAGTGTAGGGTGTGCAGGAGGCAGCCAATCAATGATTCTCTCTCATCATTTATGTTTTTATCTCTCTCTCTCTCCCTCTCGCTTCCTCTCTGAAATCAATAAAAAAATAAAAATAAAAAAGCAGTAATCAAGCTTAAATGCTGTAGAAAACTGACTATATATCTCTCAATTTTCATTACTTCCTTTTCCAGAAGTTTCCAAAACTAAAATAAAAAAAAAAAAATAAGATGAGGCATTATAAAGAGAAAAATTCTAAGTTATATCTGAAATTAGTTTGTGTAACCTTGGGAAAGTCACCTCATCTCTCTGGGCCTTTATTTTTAGACTTTATTTTATCACTTGTAAATTAAAGTAACTGCACAATTATCTAGGATCCTTTCTTAAAATATTTTCTATGACTAGTATTAATTACTTACTCAATGGAGACAATGACAGCATTCAACTCCTCAGCCATTGCTGTACACAGTTCATCATAATATCTGATTTCTAAAGGAAACAAAGGAGCAATCACTATTAAACAAGTTATTTAGTACTGTCTATTCTTCAGTTCTGCTAATTGTGAATCCCTTTTAGACTTGGACTTAAATTATTAACAATAAAAAGCAAATGTGACCATAGGTCTCCTTAATACAGTTACGTATACAAATGCAGAATTTAAATCAGTTTCTGATAAAATGCAGTTGCTACATAATAACAGGAAATCTACATTAGATTGCCTTTGAATGTGTTTTTAACTAACTAGAGATTTGTTTCATACTGGACTCTATGAAATGCACCAAATTCATTTTGCAGCTCTTCAAATGTATGTCTTTCCAAAAATCACAGCCAATAAGCAGTTTTCTCCTGAGAACCATAAAAATTTTCTCTTTTAACACCTGCATTTTATGTAATTCAGGAAAATCACCAATTTGAAGAATGTGGTATTTTGTTTAAATCAACACATAACAAACTAAAATTTTAAGAACTCTTAGCAATTCTTAGAAAGAGAATCCAAAGATTTGCCATGACAGCAGCAATTTTATTATGCAAAAAATCAATCCCTTAGCTGTTCTCCCAATATATTAAGAGCAGATTGTGTCAACAAAAAGCCAAAATATCACCTTATCCATAGGCTTTCTAAGGCAGTCTTAGAATTAGAAGTTTAATAACAACATAACCATCTACACACCTCCCTCAGCCTGATGCTTCCTGTGACAGTAGTGTTCAGTCAAAATTAATATGGAAAAGGCCAGGTTGGCTCTTACAATCTACACCATTCCCGGCCTCCAGTGTAATGTCTCACCTGGCAAGTGTCTGATGGTACAGACTCATTCTTTTCTAGGAAAAAGATTCTATTTTATTAATTTTTATATCCCATCACCTAGCACATAGTAGAGTGAGCACAGGTACAGGTTTGCATGCAACTGTTTGAGTTTTTGTACCAGAAGGCCTGCCCTTCAGGAAACCTCTCAGTCCTAGGCAAACCCACCTGCTCAATAAACATCTCTTGAAAACGTCAACAAATCAACGATTAAAGAATTATGAACATGGAGTTATATGAAATGGGATTACTATAAAGAGCTATACTTTCGGCCTTTCCCTCATAAAAAAAAAAAATATGTTATTAAAGCAAAACAAGCAAGCAAACGAGAACCAGATGCCAAAGCTCCGGGTTGAAGATGAGGAAGTAGCTCCATGAAAATCGCAGGTGGCGATAAGGCCCTCACTTCCTCCCCGGTTTGCATTCTGCCCGCTGCTCCACCTGCCAGCGTGCCATTTTGATCCCGTTCTGCTCATGAAAGAAATTCTACCCTAAAGAGACCATTCTTGAACTCTGTAAGAGCACTTCCTTTGCACGGTGGCACACTTTTGTATTTCCACCCTTGGTTTCATAAGCAGATGAAATGTAGATGAGTTAACATGTGCATTTGGGAACACCTGTTCTATTTCATAGAAAGGGGGTCCTCAAAACACAATGAAATCCCACCTTATTTGGGAGCAGAAAGCTATTGACAGCACTTTGTAATAAGTTAGTCTATGATTTAGGTCCCAGGAAATATTTTCAAAACAGTCGACCTTAATTAACAAACAAATAAGCAAATAGGCAAAAACCTTTACGTAGGGCAGTAATGGCGAACCTTTTGAAAAGCTCGGCGTGTCAGCATTTTGAAAAACCCTAACTTAACTCTGGTGCCGTGTCACATATAGAAGTTTTTTTATATTTGCAACCATAGTAAAACAAAGACTTATATTTTTGATATTTATTTTTTATATTTAAATGACATTTAACAAAGAAAAATCAACCAAAAAAAATGAGTTTGTGTGTCACCTCTGACATGCGTGTCATAGGTTCGCCATCACTGATGTAGGGTATAATCACCGAAACCAGGACACTTTCAAGCATGAAAAGGACACACCACTAATACTTCTGCTGGGATAATAGGGGCAACTGGGACTGCCCACAGGGACCAAGTCAAATGGTCCCCCTCTCTTTACCCAATAAGAAAGTCAAACTCAATTACACACACACCTCTCTCCCAGGGCCAACCACAACCCCAAAGAAACTTAAGAGGACCAGGACATACTTGCGCTTGCCAAGGCCCAGCCTCCCCCGTGGATATAAACAACGCTGCGTTTCAGTGGCTCTCCTGGCTTTGCAGGGCCTTCAAACACTCTGACTTCCACGCCGTCAAAGTCAGTGTCGGTCACATTCACCTGAGCAGTTGACCATGCGCTTTTCTTGCCAAAAGAACCGATGATAAAATTCAGTGCGAGCAGGTGATGGCTCAGGCCCAGGTAGTGCATCAGGTTACTCTGCAGGGTGAGGGAGGGAATACAGAGGGAGAGGGTGGGTCAATTTTGTCATCACCAGAGCCATACTCACCAATGCTCAGTATTTAAATTCTTACAAGGACTTGCTGCCACTTTTAATACAGTAACAAACTGCTTTTGGAGCTTACATAATTATTTTCATACATTAGATTCCCTTTGATTTTTCAAAATCAGCTCTGAGAGGGGACTGGGACAGGTATCTTCAGTCCCCTCTTATCACAAAGGCGTAGAAATGAAATAAACTTGCCCACTTAGATGGGTAAATGGCAGTTCCGGGACTGAAACCTGGAACTCATGAATTCCAGAATTCAGTCCTTTTTGTATGTTCTTCCACCAGCACATCACAGTTGAAAAGCATAGAAGGAGTGAAGGAAAAATACCTTATTTAAATGAAAATAAGAGGAAAGTTTTATATTTAAGTATTTTTAAACTTGTATATTTAAGTCTGTCTGAGAGTAGGGCAGGGGTGGGCAAACTTTTTGACTCGAGGGCCACAATGGGTTCTTAAACTGGACCGGAGGGCCGGAACAAAAGCATGGATGGAGTGTTTGTGTGAACTAATATAAATTCAAAGTAAACATCATTACATAAAAGGGTACGGTCTTTTTTTTTTTTTTTTAGTTTTATTCATTTCAAACGGGCCGGATCCGGCCGGCGGGCTGTAGTTTGCCCACGGCTGGAGTAGGGGAAAGGAATAAGGTGTGAGAGGGAAGAGCAGTGTCGACTGCAACCCTGTCATTGAGAAGCAAGCTAAGCCAGGATCCCAACCAGGATCTTTCCAGCAATATGCAAAGAACATACAGCACCCTCGCTTCCCCTCGGAGCCCCAAGGGCATCGAGCTCCGCATTAAATGTTCACAGAAAGTTATTTGGTGGAGAAGGAGCATAGAGAGAAGAGACCCAAGTCATCCCTTCAGCAAAGACCTTGTGGGATGCACTCCTCTCTCTTCCCCTCTTATACAGGCCCTTCCTATTGAGTGCACTTGTAAAACTGACCTCCCTACAAGACTTCCTAGCCGAGTTTCAAAGACAGAGACTTGGAAGCAGCAGAGACCGGTCAAGCTAGAGAGGCTCAGAAGGGTCAGAGTGATTGGAAACTTGTCAGGCACACATGTGTGAACTTTCTCCAACCGGCTCTTACCTGCCAGAAGGGAAGCAGCTGGAGAGCAACAGTGCCCTTCTGTAGACCACGAAACAGAACACTGATGATTAGCGAAATATTTAATGCCATTGGAAGATCCAGGAAGCAATGATACCAGCAGAAATCAGGACTAGATAAAGTCTGCAATACCCATCACACAGCTTCCCAGCACAGTGTGCGTGGCGCAGTGAAGAGAGTACCCACGTACTGTCCCCCAGAACCCCTCAGCCCCTGGACAGCCAAACTCCTGAGCCCATTATCCCAGTGTCCCATATAAATATTATTATGCAATACATATGCCTGCCATGAAAAGAGTTGGAAAGCACTGTGTTCTAAATCCACTGGCCAGTGTTCATGAAAGCAAAAAGCAAAAAGCAAAAACACCTAGAATAGTGGCTGGTACACACTAAGCCTCATATGGTTAATGTGGGTAGTCTACCTCTGATCCAGAAGATCGCTGCATCTTCTGGAGTCAGCCTGGGGGGATAGGTAGTACAATTTTTCTAGAGAAACTGAGATAACCGTTTTCCCCCCTAATGTACATTTGTAAGTAGGACGATGAGGATTACCAAGTTCTAAAATTATTTCAGGTCAAAGAGATGTAAAATAATTCTCTCTAAAAAGTTCATTTGTATGCTTACATCAAAAGGGAAGGGAGGCTGGGGAAAAGCCACAGTACACTGATACCCACACACATAACTAGCTTAGCACGTGGTCAACTTTCAACATGAGCCAACCACATTAAATGCTTAGAGCTTCTATTGCAACGGACTTCTGCATCATTTCCTGGATTCAAAGGCTGTATTCTACGTCAGTGGTTCTCCACCTTTTTCAGTGATGGTCATTCCATTCTGTCAAACAGTTTTTAAATTCTCCTCTCTAAATCCTGCTTTACTTCTGCCTATTATAGAAAAAGAAATTTTCATGGACCATTTATCTGCATGAAAATCTATGATCATGATTAACCTCTGGAAGGGGAGTAGCTGGCCTGCGTGGCTCAGTGGTTAAGTGTCGACCTATGAACCAGGAGGTCATGGTTCGATTCCAGATCAGGGCACATGCCCGGGTTGCGGGCTCGAACCCCAGTGTGGGACGTGCAGGAAGCAGCGGATCAATGATTCTCTCTCATCATTAATGTTTCTATCTCTCTCTTCCTCTCTAAAATCAGTAAATATATGTATATACTATCTAATAATAGACAAACATGGTAATTGACCATACCTTTGCTATGCCTCCCATGGGCCAATCAGTGCGATATGCAAATTAACCGCCAACAAAGATGGTGGCTAATTTGCATACTGCAGGTAGGGTGGACAGCACCATCCCGCCTGCCCCGCGCGCCATCTGGGCCTGCTATCTGCGACCCGGGGCGGCGGGCGTCCGTGTGCGACACAACCCAGGGCGGCCGGGTGGGGCAGTAGCGATCGGCTGGCTTGCCTGGGTGTCCCGTGTGCGACCCGACCCGGGGAGATGCCCCAACCCCCAGATTGGCCCTGCCGTGTGCGAGACCCAGGCAGGCGGGGCAGGAACCGGGGGATTGGGCCTGCCATCTGCCACCCAGGGAGCGGGCTAAGCCAGCAGGTGGTTATTTCCTGAGGGGTCCCAGACTGTGAGAGGGCACAAGTGGGGCTGAGGGACACCCCCTCCCATCCCTCCTCCCACACCAGTTCACAAATTTTTGTGCACCGGGCCTCTAGTCCTATATAATAAAAGGGTAATATGCAAACTGACCAAACGGCCAAATGACCGGTCGCTATGATGTGCACTGACCACCAGGGGGCAGACCCTCAATGCAGGATCTGCCCCCTGGTGGTCAGTGTGCTCCCACAGGGAGTGCACCACTCAGGCAGAAGCCAGGCTCACAGCTAGTGAGCGCAGCGGGAGCCTCTCTGGCCTCCGCAGCAGCGCTTAGGATGTTCCACTGTGGGCTTACATCCCTGGAGGGCTCCCAGACTTCGAGAGGGCGCAGGCTGGGTGGAGGGACCCTGCCCTCCCTTCCCACCCCCCCCACCCCCCAAGTACACAAATCTCGTGAGCTTGGCCTCTAATAAATAAATAAATATATATATATATATATATGCCGGGGTCCAACCCCAGCAGGTCCAGGGGTTCCCAAAGGCGTAGACGGAGTCGGCGAAGAAGGAAGGACACGGAGACAGTGTTCAGTTGATCAGCAGCCTAGCCAGGATCTCCAGCCAAGTTCTGGTCTGGATCTCCAGAGAGGTTCTGCTTAGGATCTCCAGCCAGGTTCTGTGTCCATGTTCTCTTGCTAGGTTCCCCAGCCAGGTTCTATAGCCATGTTCCCTCGCTAGGTTTTCCAGCCAGGTTCAGTCACCAGGTTCTAGTCAGGTTCTCTTGCCAATTTCTGTAGTCAGGTTCAGTCCAGGATCTTTTGCCATGTTCTCTCGCTAGGTTCTGTCTCTAGGTTCTGAGGCCAGTTTCTGTCCAGGATCTTTTGCCATGTTCTCTCCAGCGAAGTTCTTCTGTCTCTAGAGAACGTTCTGTGTAGGTTCTGTGCCTAGGTTCTGTCTCTCCTGGTTCTCTCTTTTAAGTTCTGTGTGTAGGTTCTGTCTCCTAAGTTCTGTGTTCTAAGTTCTGTCTCTTGCTGTCTTGTTACATCTGTATTTATACCAGTTGATTCAATCCTATCAATCTCTATTACAAAGGTTAGGGCGTTTCTTATCTCCATTCCAGGGAGTAAAGATTATGTAGCTTAAGCATGATTGTTCGTAGTTAAAGTGATTAATTACCCGCCTGGCACTTAGTTAAGAGGTTTTATTCCTTCCCTAACTTCAGGGGAAAATCCCTACCTGGGGAAACAACCTTTTTCAGAGAGGAGACCTTGGTTAAAACACATAGTGCCAAGAAGGTGAGAAAACATTTTAAGAACAGTATGCCATATATGCCAGGTCCTTTGAAACAGCAAGGATGGACCGGCTCCTGGTATATATATATAATTTGTTTTAAAGGTGGGTAAAAGATGTACTGAGAACTTAAATAGGTAAGAATTTAAGTCTTGTCTGATTCTCTCCCTTTACCCAAATTCCCATCTTTTCTGAAGCTTTCATAGTTCCCTGTACTTTCTTTGAGACTTTAACTCTGAAGAAAATTCCTTTGATTTTAAAGCGTCAATTCAGATTAAATTTTTTTAAAGTTGGAAACCAAACAAAACATGCTTGCAGGCCAAATCTGGTCTAAGGGCCACCAGCAGCAACTTCTGGCAGAGAGGACGGGCGGTCCAGTCTGACTGGAAGTGCAGCAGGAAAGCTGCTGGCAGAGTAAATGCTCTCACGTGTAGACCTTAGTTAGTGTTCAACAATGAAACAACAGAGATTGTGGGACACTGTATTATTGATATTATGAGATTATCCTTTAGGAAGAATTATGCAGCTGAAATGTATACACAATAGGGTGGTTTAAGAGAAGAGACTGGAGGCAAGGGCAACTGCTATAAGAGCCAGGCAGTTGTTTGCAGGAGAGAAAATGAGGGTCTGCCCCTGGAGAACACGGGGGCGGGAACATCAGCAGGATCACTGAGTCAGAGGTGATGGGCCTTGGCACCTGCTCATAGAGAGGAGGGGCTGTGAGGCAGGTAGGCAGGGTAGAGGGATACAGAGAAAAGATTCAAAGATGCCCAGGGTTTTCACCTGGGGTATGAGAAACGGAGAACACGGGCAGAACAGTCAGGGAAGGTAAGATAAGATTCATTTTAGAACTGCTCCATGCAAAGCCAATGGAAGAGTTAGGTAGATCAGTTGCTCCCCATATGTGCTCTAACGAGGGATCAAACCCAAAACCCTTTAGAGCAGTGGTTCTCAACCTTCTGGCCCTTTAAATACAGTTCCTCTTGCTGTGACCCAAACATAAATTATTTTCGTTGCTACTTCGTAACTGTAATGTTGCTACTGTTACGAATCGTAATGTAAATATCTGATATGCAGGATGGTCTTAGGCGACCCCTGTGAAAGGGTCGTTCAACCGCCAGAGGGGTCGCGACCCACAGGTTGAGAACCGCTGCTTTAGTGCGAGGGACGACCCTCCAACCAACTGAGCCACCTGGCCAGGGCTGGCCATCAGCAACTTTAAGCTAACTTATAACTATGTTTAAGTTAACTTGTAAGATTCCAGTATATCTTCTAGTACAGTGGTTCTCAACCTTGGCTGCACATTAGAATCACCTGGGAATCTTTTTAAAATCCTGATTTCTGGGCCTCATCCTCCAGAAATTCTGTTTCTTTGTTATGGCATGTTATGGCATATTATGGCATGTACAAAGAAACAGAATTTCCGGAGGATGAGGCCCAGAAATCAGGATTTTAAAAGATTCCCAGGTGATTCTAGTGGGCAGCCAAGGTTGAGAACCACTGTTCTAGTGAATCTGAGACATTATAAAGTTCTTCAAAAATGCTGACTTTTTTACATCTCTTTGTAATAAGTATACATCATTTAGGACTTGCCGAAGGAGAACAGTGTTACAAACATCAAAGATCAGCATCAGAATCGTGAAATTACAGGTGACGTGGAAAGGAAAATTAGATATTTAGGCTCATTTCAGAAATTAAAAGGGAAGTGGAAAGAGTTGCTTTTTCTCATCTCCCTGTGAATTGCCTACCTCCCCCTCCTTAGTCCAAAATGACATATAGGCCTCATTTTGCCCATCTTTGGAATTTCATGCTTATGTGAATTCCCCATGCACATGTGTTAAACTTTTATTTTCTCCCATTAGGCTGAAGTATGTGATTTGAATTATTTAACCAGCCAGGACTCCCGGGGTAAGAGGAAAGTTTCACAGGCCCTGAAAGTGGGAACATACTAGACACGATAGATGTAGAAACTTCAAAATTAGAGATGTATACCTTATAGTAGGAGAGAAGAGACCGAGGCTGTGTGTAGAGGCTGCCTGAAGACGGTCTCGGCTGAGTTGAACTGAGTTTTAAAGAATGGTCAGTAGTTTGGAGAAGGAGAAAGGGGGAGGAAAGGCACACAGGTATTTGTGTGGGGGACAGGTGTTCCACACTTCAATTTCTGCCCCCCGCCCACACTTTGCTTTACGAGTGTTCAGCACCACGCTCCTCCAGTGAGAACAGGAAGACATCGAAGTCCTCTTTCCTATTCCTACCCAGATTACAAAAATAAAAAAACCACTCCTTCACTTGCTTGGGGCTGGATCTCTAATCCAACCTGACTCCGGCTATCTGATCACCGTTTCTGAGGCTTTTAGCAATATGGTAAATTCCACCGGAGATGGGGAGTCAATTTGCTCAGGGAAAGCAGGAATTGTAAAGCTGAACAAAATAAAATATGAAACCTTGGGAACAGCATCATTTAAAGGGATAGTGGACAGGAGAGAAAGAACCAATCATTAAGAGACCTTCCCCATCCCTATCTCCCCGCCCCTGCCCCCCCCCCCCAAAAAAAAAGAGACGGAATTAATGATTAGTGTGGCAGGAGAAACAAGAAGCTGGAGAAGCTGTTAAATGCCTGCAGAGAGGCCAAGAAGACCACTGGTGTTGACAGTGGGGCCATGGGATCGTCGGTGAACCTAATGAGTACAGCTGAGTGGGAGGTACCTGGCTGGAAGCCAGGCACTGATGGGTTGCAGAGTGAGTGGGAGTGAAGCAATAGCCATGGTGAATGCGGAGGAGTGCTTTCACTGTCGTAGAAAAGGCAGTAGGACAAGAGGCTGAGGGGAAAAGTAAAGAAAACCAGGAAACCTTTTTTCCTAAAGATGAAAGTTGAGCATGCTTGTAGGGAAACAGCCTGTAAACAAGCAGAGACCAAGGTTCCAGAAGAGAAGAGAAATAATAAGTGAAGTGAGCCCCTGAAGGAAGGAGGAGGAGAGAGGTTCTGGAGACAGATAAAAGGGCTGGCCTTGGGAGGCAGTGGCTGGTGAGATTACAGTTGGTAGGCAGAAAAGCTGAGGGCATTTACCTCTAAAGAGAACTGCTTTCTGTTGAGATCAGTGCTGTCTTTACCCCAAAGACAGCGACTTTTCAAAGGCCGCCCTCTTTGAAGGCAACCCATCACAATCTGGCTTCTGGCCAGATACCTCCGACCCACTGTCTTATGAGATTCACCAATGGCCCCATCACCCCCTGCCAATGCCCATGGCCTGCTTGGCTGCACTGTAGGCATCTAACAACTTGCTCTTTCGTGAAACTCTCTTCCCCTTAACTTCTCCAGTCTTGTTTTCTCTTATCATAGTAATAATGAATACCTCTTTTTTGGGGGTGGGGGGGTGGGGAGGAGCCTTGTCTTTTATTGATTATTTCTTCCTCTCCTGCCCACTGGCCCTTTAATAATGGTGTTCCTCAAGGTTCCATTATTAAAATTTTATTCAACTGCACAATTCCTGCTTTCCCTGAGGAAACCAATGTACTTCTACAGCACAATGCCTAGATAACAGGAAGTGCTTACTAACTAGCAGCCTATTAAACTGAATGGCTAGGACCTCTGTCCATAGGCCGGTGACTTCCAAATTTCTCTCTCCAGTTCCCGATCAGTGGTTCTTAAGCCGCAGGTGCCTATTTCCAACCATCTCCAGGATCTAGCCCAAGCATGTCGTGCGGCCCGCTGGCCGTGAGTTTGACATGCTGGATCTAGCCGAAAAGCTCTTGGAAATGAACAGGTTCTACCCTTCCTTCTCCACCCCCAACTCAGCAACTCCCTTCTTTATTAACGATCTGACCATAATTCTAGTTTTCAAGCGGGGGACAATCCTTGCTACGGGTTTCTCCTGCTATCTGAAAGTAGAGCATTCCTATGAAAGCTTTCAGAAGCTGAAATGGCCTGAAGCGAAGAAGCAATTACCATTCATTTAAATGGAAACATATTTTTAGTCCAGTTTTACGCTAAGTGTAACAGCCTTACAAGCTCCCTTAGGCTTTCCTAATAATACCTGAGGACACACTTAGCTAATGCATGCACAACATAAATCGGGAAAAAGCCCAGATGCTCACAGGCACAGTACAAAGCTACGGTGGCTTGATGCTAGGACACTGAGTGTAACTGGGGTGCCCCTCTCGCTGCTTGGGGTGTGTGCTACCCCCACGAGGGCTCTCTGCAAAACAAACGCTGAATGCTGTTTTTGCTTTTTACCATTTTTCATAAAAATGAAATCCTTCCTTCCTTTAGGTTACTTGAAAACAGGTACTAATGTAGGCCTTTCATAAAAGCCAAGTGGCACAGCAGGGGACACCTGTATTTTCTTCAGCTCCTTCTCTCCCTCACATGATAAGCAATCAATCATCCATCTGTGTCAATTCCACTTGCCAACAATTTCTGAATCTTGTTCTACCCCCAGCCTCCAGGCCCCAACTCGTACTGCTGCCTTGATTATATGCTCATTATTTCCTGTGTTTGCCTACTAACCTGAATTCTATGACCTGATGTTTACTGCTTATCAGAGTTCTGACCCTAAAAGGCTACTCAGATTACCTGGCTACTTAAAAACTTCCACTGCCTTCCAGTTTTCTTCAGAAAAAATAAACACAGTGCACTTGACATTCCAGTCTGATACCACTCTCCTTTCCAACCCCCATCTCTCACCACCCCAACCCTTGTACTTTCCACTTCTCTGGAGTCACATTTACTCAAGTACAACTTACATAATTTTATTTTATCCTGTACCTGCTGCTTTCTTTGGCAATGGCCTTCAGTGGTGTGCTAGAATAACTCCAAGTCACAAAAATCAACTGTTGAAATCTACAAGTCAGTTGACATCAGGTCAATAGTTTGAAATTGGCCGTGGTGGGAGTACTTACATCATGGAAATTAGCAAGAGCTACAAATCAGGTTTTCCCCGCCCCCCACCCTCACCCCAGCACTCCATTGCCTCTCTACTTCACACCTTTGCCTGCTTATCCAGAGCACTACATCCTAGTTTAGGGTGTGGACTAGGAAGTCAGTCAGCCAAGGTCCAATCTCGGCTCACACTTTACTAGTTGGGTGATTCCGGGCAAGTCACCAAACTTCTCTCTGCCTCTGTTTCTCCACCTGCAAAATTAGGGTGATCATCATAACTACTTTAGAGTGCTTTTGAAAGCCTTCCCGGCATAGAACTTAAAATATTCATTCTCAGAATGCTCTTTTTATTTGCTCATGTAAGGCCCTCATAGCATTTCAGACTGTCATAGAATAAAGCCTCACTACCTGAGCTTAGCTGTGGTGGCTGCCAAGGTCACTCTCACATCCGCTGGGAGCCACGCTGACTCACCGGCTGCACGGTCCTGAGCTGAGAGATATACAAGGACTTCAGGGGAACAGAGCCCTCTAAGTGATATAAACCCCCATCTTCCAGCCTTCCTCCGAAGAAAAGGTTGTGAAGAGTCACTTTTCATTATCCTGCCTTGAAATTCTTCGAACAAGGTTAGAAAGGGTAAAGGAAATAGGAAGGAGAAGAAAGAGCCCAGACCTTGGACAGAAACCAAGGCCAAGGCCTGGCTCTATCATTTATTGGCTACATGACCTGGGCACAGTTCCGAAGTTCTCTGGGTCTCAGGGTCCCAGAAGGGAAGACAGAGCACACGTGACAAGTAAATCCACATCCCCTGTTGTTGCCTCCTCTCTCTGGAGGCCCTGAACTGGCAGGAGCCTTGCTCAGGACTTTGGTAGGTCCCCATCTGGTTAGGCACCCTTCCTACACCTGCCCTTCCTCCCTTATTTTTTTTACTCAACACTGTGTTGGTTAAAGAAACCTTCTTTCCCACACTCTGAGATTAGGCAGGGACCAAAAAGAGTTGTGTGGGGCATAGCAAGCAGCACTCTTGTCCATATAGCAAGGCACGGCAGGGGGGGGGGGGGGGGGCTGTTCAGACAACCTGGGAAGCACAGAGTAGGGTTCTCAGAGGAGATGACTCTACCACAGAATTTCAAGTTTGTTTAGTTCTGTATCCAAGGATTTCATTACAAGCTACAAAGAAAAGCCTCACCACCTCTCAGTTAACAAGGTAACCTAGAACAGAGAAAGGAAAGCGCTCAGAGGGATCCGACACCCTAAAGCCTTCCGTGTGTTCTCTCCCTCCCGATTCAATCTGGGGGAGCACAAAAAGGACAAGCTTTTTTCTTTCCAGTTCCTAAACCTGTTTGTTTTTTTACTGTCACAAAGAAGACAAAGTACTTGCTTAGTTCCAAAAGCCTGGCATCTTCTGTCAAGACATGTCCAGGAGTATAATAATAGCTCAGACATACTGACATGTGCTCTCTGCCAGTCAGTGTCCTCAGTGTGGAGGTATCTCGGACCAACAGTGTCCAGTGACTAGCCCAAGGTCACACAGGCAGAAAGGAGTGGGCTGGATTTGAACAGAAGCATTCTGGTTCCAGACACCTTAACCATCACCCTCTACTGCCACTCACCAGTCAATTTAGTCTCAAACCTATATCATAAAACTGGAAGATTTTACATCCGGAACGCACGCATAGTTTCCCATATTTACACAAGAGGAAACTGAGGCTCGTGGAAAATATATGCCTCCCCCAGGGTCAGCAGCTGTAGCAGAGCAGCTCTAGCCTTGACCACCTTGGGCCCAGGAGGCACCCCGCTTCTCTCCCTTCCCTCCAGCTCTTCCTCAGCGGCACATTTCTCTCTCAAGCCTTCTCTGGGCCTTTTCTCTCTCACCCCTTTCTCAGTTCTGTTCCATCTCACTCTCTACCTTCCAGACACACGCACATGACAGCTGAAATGCGACTTTAAAAAATTAATTCAAGTTCTTTCATACTCACACCTCTGTTATCTATAACAGCAGTAACTAGATTGTAAGCTCCTTGGGATGAGGCCTGAGTCTTGGCAATCGATTGTTTTCCAGAGCCTCAGACAGAGCTGGTCATAAACAAATGCCCTTCACCGGGCCACTGCAGCTGCTGAAAGCCTCCCTTGGTCGCTGGGACAAGCAGCATTTGTTTTCACTGGAGTGTTCCCGATAGCAGGTGGCTAAAGGGCAGCACAAAGGAATTCCAGTCCTCAACCAACCTCCCAAGCTTCCTTAGGCTAGATGGCAACTCAGAGCCCGCCCACTCACGCCCTCTGCCTGACTTCACAAGTGTGTTCAGTTCTACAGGCTTCTCCAGTTTGGAGATTAACCTTCCTCTTCATGTAACATGCAGGAAGCAGCAAATTAGATGTGACCTTTGAGAAATGGTTTCTTAAGTGGCAGATAAACCCAAAAGTCACGGGCAAATGATTTTTATAGACACCTACAGATGTCGGAAGAGCCAGAGTCAGATGAATTACACTAAATTAAGACACCCTTGTGTACCTTCCGCATGCGGTTACAACAAATGAATGCATACTACATAAAATACATAATCAATTTTAAGAAGCACAATAATGACTCTTTTGTACAATGCTTTACAGTTTATGACCGTTTGAACTTTCCCTTGTTTCAGTCTCAAAGAACCTATGAAAGAGGAAGAGCAGATATTACACTCATTTTATGCTCACTTGAAGCTAAATGCCTTGCCCAGGATCATGAAGCTCCAAGTGACAGAGTGAGCACCAGGACGCAGCCGACTGCCCCACCGCTCCGAATGCCATTACTCAGAGCTCAGCATAAAATCGCTAACCGAACCATTATTTAACGCTGAGCCTCTCCCATCACACGGGTTTCGAGCACTTAAGAGTAGAAGGTTTAAAATCGGGGTGGAGAAGGGAAGTAGGTCATTTTCCCTTACCAGCAGCACGTGTGCCAGCAGATCTGCTGGGCCGGTCAACAGGAGCAGGTTGCCTGTCAACAGGGCCTAAGAAAACTGGCTTTAGTACAAAAGCCCGTGGCTTTACAGCATTTAGAATTTCTACAGCCAGAAGTTTCAGTCACTCCTTGGCCTGAGGCCTTAGGAGAGATGATGGTCCAGCAATCCCAGAGGCTTAGGAAGGAAGGCAGGCTGCAGCGATAGGATCTGAAGGTCCCTAACAATGGAGGTTCTAAATCTAGCCCAGGAGGGGATTCTGATTTAACAGACTCAGGAAATTGAAGCAATCTACACCTCACAATTTTGTTTAGATGTTTCGTTGTAGATTGAGTGTATTTAAGGTCTAACATTAAGTCTAAATCAAAATATCTATACAACAGATAACTATATTGGTTATAGTTAGATAACCAACTGTTGTGAACTGATAGGTTAGATATCCCATCACGAGAAAGAGTCCGTATCTATTTTTTATCCACTTGTTCAGCAAACATTTGTGTTTACTTGTGTATCAGACACCAAAACTGGTACAGAGACAAGCGGAAATAAAAAGATGGGCTCCATCCTTCAGCGACAGTAGGTAAGGTGGATATATATATACTCTGCAAGGCAATGGTAGGGAAAGGACCCTGCGTACCTACACAGAGAAAGAAGAAACAATTTCTGCTCAGAGGAGTTTGCAACATGTTCACAGCATGGGTGATATATGAGTTGAGTCTCTAGGAGCAAATAACCATTTGCCAGAAAAAAAAAAAAAATGAGGGACCACATTTCAAACAGGGGAACAAAGGACGGTAACTTACAAGGTATAGAAGAGAAAGGCTTGCTGGGAAGTTGGGATGAACTACTTGGCCCTGAGAGAAACAGGGTTAGCACTGTATTTCAATGTGTTAAAATAGTCTTAATTTAATGACTTTGAATCTGGTCTTTATGATAGTTCCTTTTTTTTCTTTTTAATCTTCATTGTTGAAAGTATTACAGATGCCGCCCCTCCCCCCTAAACCCCCTTCACTCCTCCCCCTCTTTATGACACATTCTAAGAACATCTATTCCTCCTCTCCATCACCCACCCCTCATCCCCAGTACAAAACCCAGGGAAGCAAAAGTCTGGTTCCACTAGAAGAGATAAATCCCAACGGGAAAGACAAAATAAGTTTGGCACAATAAGCAGGTTAGTAAATTATTAGTTTTTACTGTTCACCTGACTCTAGCACTTAGCTAAACACCCTTCATGTGTAGTGTGAAGAAGAGTTAAACTTGAGACTAATTTTTTTTCAAGATTTCTTCTGAGAGGATTGGAAATTGAGGCTTATAATGACTGTCAAGTAGGTACAAAGTAAATATTCCCATTTTGAGACCCATTCATCATACTATCACACTACACGTGAAAGTTAAAACTGAACATATTCTCAGTACTTAATTCCTTAGTTCCGCTAGCCCTGAAATTCCCTAGTGCAGAGAAAGCAGAATCCTAGAAAAATGCTGTTTTATAACCCAGAGATCATCAGCTTTACACTTCAGAGGAGAGTGATGGGTTCAAGATAGCCTGTGTTGGCAATCAGGACATTACTACTTGCATTAGTTGTGCCTGTATTATTTTTGCTGAATAACTATTAAATGGTGCACAGTTAAATTTTACTGCTTGCGCATAGACATATATAGTGGTTAAGAATTTTCAGTAAGAAAACTTTAATGTAAAGACTCAGTTTCTTTGTGGGTTTTCAATTGTGTGTGACCCAGTGATTTATAAAGAAACATAAGCATAAGGTTATTTCCCACTGTGCTGTTAATAAAACTTAGCATTATTAAATATTGTCCTCCTCTCATATTATGTATTGGATATATAAAAAACAATATAGCTCTGCTGGTTTGGTTCAGTGGATAGAGAATCAGCCTGCGGACTGAAAGGTCCCGGGTTCGATTCTGATCAAGGGCACATGCCCAGGTTTCGGACTTGATCCCCAGTGGGGGACATGTAGGAGGGAGCCAATCAATGATTCTCTCTCATCATTGACGTTTCTATCGCTCTCTCCCTTCCTCTCTGAAATCAACAAAAAATATATTTTAAAAAATAATCTATATATACAAAAGAGTAATATGCAAATCAACCAAACAGCGGAATGATCAGAACCACAGCTCCACCAGTTGCTATGAGGCACACTGACCACCTCTCAGTCCGTCCCCACAGCGGTCCCTCCCCAAAGCTGGCAGACAGGCTCCAATGGGGGGGGGGGGGGCGGGGGGGCGGGGGGCGGGGCCAGCTGCCGGCAGCCGGGGAAGATGGCTCTGATCACAGGCCAGGCCTAGGGACCATACCCGCATGCACCCGGCCACTAGTAATAATATAAACTGAGCCACCTTAAAATGGAGTTTGAGCTGCCATCCATGGGGACTGCCTTGTACATCTTATGCCTCAAACTTTGAAATGTTAAAACAAAGCAAAACAACCTTTGGACTGAGCCTAAAGCAACACTGTGTCCTGAACAATCATTTGCAAAGATAAGAAAGCAGATATGACTACCAGACTGAAAATTTTAAACATTCTTTAGAATTAGCATCACTATATCAGCTTATCTGCACCTACAGAAATGCCTTCTTTCACTGATGTAATTGTTCCCCTTTCCTTTTTCCTCAAATACCCCTTGCCTTTGCCTCCTAATATTAATATTGTGTTTCTGCCTGAATCAGAGCTTCCTGAATAGCTATTCATACATATAATTCATATATATAATTCATATATATATTGATTTCAGAGAGGAAGGGAGAGAGAGAGATAGAAACATCAATGA